CCAGTGACAGCTCATTATATTGTTTGTAAGCGTTCGAAAGCATTTTGGTGAGAATTTTCCAGAAAAAAAGTTATTGGCAATCGAACTCAAGCGTGATAGTGAGATTTCTTCATATTTCGCTGGAAAACCACAAGTGGCTATCGTTAGAGCACTCCAGCATTTAAATGTGAATAAATCTTTTACTTCTGGTAGCGTAGCAACATCCGCAGAAATGGTTCGAAAAATAAAAAAGCGACTTGATCGGAACCCCCCTCGCAGTGACCGAAAAATGGCTCGTGAGCTGAACATATCGCAATATTCCATTCGGCAAATATTGAAAAATGAACTCGGGGTAAAGCCATTGAAATTCTAAAAAGTGCAAGAACTTACACCGCAACAGAAAGAAAGTAGACTCAAAAGAGCTAAAGAGTTGCTTGCTTGGCCGAAAGTAGTGAACTGCCGAAATTGGTTTTCTCCGATGTCAATGAGAAAATATTCGTTGTCCAGCAGTTTGTAAACAAACAAAATGATCGTGTTTACTTCCCAAAGAGGTCAGCTGAAAATGTGCACCGGTTCGGTTGGCCACCAGAACTCAAGCGCCGGCCATGGTGATTGTGTGGATCGCCATAACAGCCGATGGTCGCTCTCCGTTCGTATTAATCGAACGTGGCATTAATCGAAGGCAAATATTTTGGCCCCAGACCTTGGACATTCCAACAGGATTCAGCACCATCGCACCCAGCATGCGCCACCCAAGAATGGTTACAAAATGAGGTTCCTCGCTTTATTTCCAGCGCACAAAGGTCACCAAAATCTCCGGATACCAATCCGTTGGACTATTGTGTGTACGTATTTTGGAAAACAAGGTTGGTAGTAAAAAATACCAAAGTGCCGATTACCTCAAGCAAGAGTTTCGCCGGGAAATACCGCAGAGCAAAAATCGGGCAGCGTGTGACGGTTTCATTGGCCGTTTGAAGACCATAATTCGTGCCAAAGGTGACCAATTCGAACAAATCTAAACTTATTCTAAAATTTGGTGCCATTTCCGACATTCAATAAAATTTTAAAAAATGTAAAAATTACGGCATTTGACTTTGTTGAAGTTTTTTATCTCACCCTGTATATCGGATCCGGATCCGAGTTTAACAACGTACGTCCCGAAATTCACTCCATTTGGGCTAATATTAGCCACTATATGTATAATAGACTTGAAATCGGATCAAGGATATTAAGTAGCTATATCCAAATCTTAGCCGATCTCGATAAACTTTGGCAGAGGTATTTTCGAGCTCTACAGCAATATCTGAAACGATTTCCTCCGAATTTGATGTATCTACTTTTAGACCGAAGTCAGTGATATGTACCACAATTGAGGTTATTTGGACAGATATTGTCCTGTTGGTGTACAATTATGCCGAGATCGGTTGAAGATATATATGGGAGCTATATCCGAATCATTGCACAGAGCCGGTTGAGGAGAATTTTTTCTATAGAAAACAGCCGGCCGAGGAGACTTTTTTCTCTAGAAAACATTCTCTCAGCTGGCTCAGGAGACTTTTCTCTATAGAAAACATTCTCTCATACGGCTGAGTAGATTTTTCTTGTGTAGAACCATTATTTTCGGATTCTAAAGAAATTAAGCCCTCTTTCTTCGAATCTTTTTTTTTGGCACAGAAAAAGTGCATACGAAGCAAAAAGATGAAATGACATCAAAGCCCTGTGGATACCATATGTTATTACTTCCTTTTCATATCGGTTTCTCATTTCATCTCATTGCCTGCCAGTGTTGTGTTTTTGAGAAATACATTTTTTCTGCCCCTAATTTTTATTTTGTTTATATTTTGAAAAATGTTTACAAAGCACAATAAGGAGAACAGCATGAATATCTGATTTCAATGAAAGGCATTGGACATTGGATTCTTTGAAGTCAGATTGCCCTAATTACCGATTTTATTAAAAAAAATATGAGGAGGTTAAAAAGAAGAGCTCAACTATTGATGGAAGGACCAATATCGAGTATGGAGATTCATTAATGTAGAAATATTTAAAATTTTGTAGGCATCTACAAGGATTGATGATATACAGGCTGAGATAAAAAAAACTGCAACAACGTCAAAAGCCATAATTTTTAAATTTTTTTATTCATTTTAATTTTTTTAAATTGAAGGAAATCAAAAAATGTCGGAAACTGCATCAAATTTTAAAATAAGTTTAGATTTGTTCGAATTGGTCACCTTTGGCACGAATTATGGCCTTCAAACGCCAATGAAACCGTCACAAGCTGCCCGAATGTTGCTCTGCGGTATTTTGGCCCATTCCCGGCGAAGCGCGAATCGACACTTTGGTATTTTTTAGTACCAACCTTGCTTTCAAAAATCCTCCAGACCAGCAATAGTCCAATGGATTGGTATCCGGAGATTTTGGTGGCCATTGTGCCCTGGAAATGAAGCGAGGAACCTCATTTAGTAACCATTCTTGGGTGGCGGGTGCTGAGTGCGATGAGCGATGGTGTTAAGTCCTGTTGGAATGCCCAAGGTCTGCGGCAAAAATGTTTGCATGCCCAAGGCTTTAATACACCCTCCAGAATATTTTCGCTATAATATTCGGCATTTATTCTGATGCCACTGTTGATTAATACGGACGGAGAGCGACCATCGGCTGTTATGGCGGCCCACATCATCACCATGGCCGGCGCTTGAGTTCTGGTGGCCAACCGCAGGTGCATATCTTCTGCCGACTCCTTTGGCGGATGTTGCTCTGCGGTATTTCGGCTCATTCCCGGAGAAGCGATTGCTTGAGGTGATCGACACTTTGGTATTTTTTAGTGCCAACCTTGCTTTCCAAAATACTCCAGACTAGACAATAGTCAAACGGATTGGAATCCGGAGATTTTGGTGGTCATTGTGGGCTGGAAATAAAGCGAGGAACCTTATTTTGTAGCCATTCTTGGGTGGCGCGTGCTGAGGTGCTAAGTCCTGTTGGAATGTCCAAGGTTTGCGGCCAAAATGTAAAGCACCCTCCAGAATATTTTCGCGTTAATATTCGAGATTTATTCTGATGCCACAGTCGACTAATATGAGTGGAGAGCCACAGTTGGCAGTTATGGCTTCCCACACCATCCCATGGCCGGCGCTTGAGTTCTGGTGGCCAACCAAAGGTGCACATTTTCAGCTGACCTCTTTGGCGATCATTTTGTTTGTTTACAAACTGTTGAACAACGAATGTTTTCTCATCGGCATCGGAGAAAACCAAATTCGGCAGTTCACCACTTTAGGCCAAGCGAAGCTACTCTTTAGCCCTTTTTTGAGTCTATTTTCTTTCTGTTGCGGTGTAAGTTCTTGCACTTTTTGGAATTTCAATGGCTTTACCCCGAGCTCATCTTTCAATATTTGCTGAATGGAATATTATGATATGTTCTGCTCACGAGCCATTTTTCGGCCACTGCGACGCGGGTTTCGATAAATTCCCTTCTTTACTTTTTGAACCATTTCTGCTGATGTTGCTGCTTTATTCCGTCCACTTCCTTGACGTCGGGGGCTACACTACCAGTATCACGGTAAAGAGCGATGGTACGAGACACAAAATATTTATTCACATTTAAAAGCTGGAGTGCTCTAACGATAGCCACTTGGGGTTCTCCAGCCAAATATAAAGAAATCACCCTGTCACGCTTGAATTCCACCATCACGAATAATTTTTTTTCTGGAAAATTCTCACCAAAATGCTTTCGAACGCTTGCAAACAATATAATGTGCTGTCACTGGAATAATTTTAACAACTGTCGGACGAGTGGCTTAGAAATGACAGCAGTCTGAAGTTGGTTGGCCGTTTTTTCATCTCACCCTGTAAATCATGCCTTCAGCGATTTTTATTTTTCATTTCTTTATTAAATACTTGAAAAGCCTCCACAAGCCAAATATTCTGTCTTTCGAACTGTGTCGGATTGTTTGTTCGGAATACCATAGTATTTTGTTGTTGCAAAATGGTCAGGCTTAATCCCTTTATTGTTGTTTTTTTATAAAAACAACGTTTGTTTATGAGTGGAGAACGATGGTAATGTTTGCCAGGGGGTATGGCAGGGAATATCTAGGTTTCGGAAAGAGCCTTTCGATTATTGATTTTTTGGTATTCAAATTTGAAATTAAATCTTTTGTTTAATATTTGTGTTCTGAAGGTCCTTATTTGGTTGAAAAAAAATGTTTACCCCCAAGAAACTCAAATGCCTTACTTAAAATCTCCTCTCCACCTCCCCACTTGTTCCACTTGAAATGACGTCATTGACACCATATGGTATCGTCTGTATCGTCAACACAACTTGATGACATAAACTTTATTGGCATCATTTGTATCGCCATCATCATCATCATTTCCAGTCGTGCTACTTACCACTACATACATCTTGATATGCAGATTTGTTCGGCTTAGCTTAATTTGCGGCATGTTACGGTTCTTGGGGCCCTAAGTTTTAATTGAAGCTGTTGATGATGCTGATGAAGATTTGTATTGTTCCATGGTTTAATCCAGTGTAAAATACGTTTTTTTTTTGTTCGCCACATTGTCACCGTGGTGACAACGGGTTGAACAGTTGCTGCTGATTTGTTGCCGTTTTTTTTCTGTTTTTTTTTTTTTGTTTTTGCGGTTAGCTAAGACGTTTTGCTAGGATGACAATCCGCTATGTGCATGTATGGCTTTTGATATCTTTATTGCGTTAAGTTTAACGCTCTTTGCGGGCCAGGCAAAATCTATGGTTAAATGACGTTAACACATGGCAAAGTTTTGAGGTTCTCCTTTCCAAAAAGAGAAAAAAAAATTGAGAGGAAAATTAACTGTTATTTTTTTTTCTTTTGAAGACACTTGTGCTAACGACCATACAAATTTCACCCCCAAAAAAAATATATCCTCCGATTGTCGAGAAATTTAAGATTACTAAAGAATTCCGTCCCATCTTTCGAAATCACTGTGGGAGAAAATATTTTGAACGTATATTAATCTACCCTCTTTTTGTATCTTTCTCTTTTTAGGTGAGTACAAATCGAAAACCCTGCCACGGATACACTTCGACAACTCCATAAATGATATGTCGCTGAATGAAGGTAAATAGTTTTTAGAATGACTTAAGCGGATAAAAACCCACAATTTTTATTGAGCTCTACGAATAATGGGTTCCTGGAGATATTCTTATAAAGAGATTTTTTTTATAGAAGTCCATGTAAAGGTCTTCTTATATAAGAACTTGACGCCTTTGTATAGAATACCTAGTGAAGGTCTTCTTGTAGAAGATATAGAGGTGTTCTTACAGAAAGTTTAGGTTTTCTCATCGAAGACATGTGAAGTCTTCTTATAGAAAAGGACCAAGAGTTTTTCTTATAGACTCTAGACGTCTATTTCAGAAGAACTAGATATATTTTTATAGAAGACCGAGGGGTCTGTCTTTAGATGACATAGTGGTCCTCTTAGAGAAGACCCAGTGATATTCCTTGGAAAGCCTCCTTCCTTTAGAGGACCTAAATGTCTTCTAATAGGAGACCTCGAATAGAAGTCCTGAAGGTCTTCTGATAAAAAACCTAGAAGTCTTATTATAGAAGACCTAGAGGACCAGGTCTTCTTATAGAGGACCTATCAGAGGTCTTCTTATTGAAGACATGGAGGTCTTCTCGGAGAAGACCTATAAAGTTTTCTTTTAGAAGGCAAGAGTTCTTCTTCTGATAAAAGACCCAGAGGGTCTTTCTTTAGAAGAACTTGAGGTCTTCCCTTAGAGGGCCCTGAGGTCTTCTCATAGAATACCTAGAGGTTTTCTCATAGAAGACCTATCAGAGGACTTCTTATAGAAAGCCTAGAATTTTATAGAGACCTAGAGCTCTTCATATCGAAGACCGGGATGTCTTCGAATAGAAGACTTTGAGGTTTTCTCATAGAAGACCTTGAGGTCTTCTCATAGAAGACCTGGAAGTCTTCTCATAGAAGACCTGGAAGTCTTCTCATAGAAGACCGGGATGTCCTTTCAAAGAAGACCTGGAAGTCTTCTGATAGAAGATCTAGAGGTTTTCCTATAGAAGACCCAGAGGTCTCTCTATAGAAGACCTAGGAGGTCTTAAAAGAGAAGACCTGGAGGTCTTTAAAAAAAAGACCTGGAGGTCTTCTTATTGAAAATTTTGGGGTCCTTCGATAGAAGACCTGGAGGTCTTCTGATAGAAGACCTGGAGGTCTTCTGATAGAAGACCTGGAGGTCTTTTGATAGAAGGTCTTCACATAGAAAACCTAGAGGTCTCCCTATAGAAGACCTGGAGGTCTTAAAATAGAAGACCTGGAGCACTTTAAAAAAGACCTGGAGGTCTTTAAAAAAAGACCTGGATGTCTTCTTATTGAAAACTTTGAGGTCTTCTAATAGAAGACCTGGAGGTCTTCAAATTGAAGACCTAGAGGTCTTCGAATAAAAGACTTGGAGGTCGTCTGATAGAAGACCTGGAGGTCTTCTGATAGAAGACCTAGAGGTCTTCTGATAGAAGACCGGGATGTCCTTTCAAAGAAGACTTGGAAGTCTTCTCATAGAAGACCTGGAGGTCTTCTCATGGAAGACCTGGAGTTCTTCTGATAGAAGACCTTGAGATCTTCCAAAATTAGACCTAGAGGTCTTCCTATAGAAGACCTGGAGGTCTTCCTATAGAGGACCTAGAGGTCTTCCTATAGAAGACCTGGAGGTCTTCTGATAGAAGACTTGGAGGTCTTCTGATTGAAGACTTGGAGGTCTTCTGATAGAAGACTTGGAGGTCTTCTGATAGAAGACCTGGAGGTCTTCTGATAGAAGACTTGGAGGTCTTCTGATAGAAGACCTGGAGGTCTTCTAATAGAAGACCTGGAGGTCTTCTAATAGAAGACCTGCAGGTCTTCTGATAGAAGACCTTGAGGTCTTATCATAGAAGACCTTGAGGTCTTCTCATAGAAGACCTTGAGGTCTTCCCATAGAAGACCTAGAATTCTTCTGATAGAAGACCGGGATGTCTTCGAATAGCAGACCTGGGTGCCTTCGAATAGAAGACCTTGAAGTCTATCTATAGAAGACCTAGAGGTCTATCTATAGAAGACCTAGAGGTCTCTCTATAGAAGACCTAGAGGTCTCCCTATAGAAGACCTAGAAGTCTTCCTATAGAAGACCTAGAAGTCTTCCTTTAGAAGACCTAGAGGTCTTCCCTAAGAAGACCTAGACCCAGAGGTCTTCCTTTAAAAGACCTAGTAGACCCTGAGGTGTTCTCATAGAGTACTTAAAGGTTTTCTCGTAGAAGACCTATCAGAGGTCTGCTTGTAGAACGTCTTGAGTTTTTATAGAGACCTAGAGCTCTTCCTATGGAAGACCTGGATGTGTTCGAATAGAAAACCTGGAGGTCTTTAAATAGAAGGCCTAGATGTCATCGAATAGAAGACCTGGAGGTCTTCTGATAGAAGACCTGGAGGTCTTCTTATAGAAGACTTGGAGGTCTTCTGATAGAAGACCTGGAGGTCTTCACATAGAACAGCTAACTATGTCTCATAGAACAGCTAACAATGTCCCCATTCCGCAACAATGTCTGATTAATTAATTCTTTGTAACCATAAAAAAATTCAATAATTTCCAATTTCGTTTTTAACACTCGCCAGAATTTAATGACGTTCCTTTCAAGGCAATTTGTAAGTTATTCAAAAGGAACCAACTTCAGCAGCACTTGCCCATGTGTTCAATTCTCGTTAATAGACATGTTCAAGCAAGTCATTAAAACTGAAAAGGCCGGCAATAACGTTTACAACACCCTCAGCCACATATGTGTGGCTTATTCCAAGAATTGTAGCACACGCCACACATGGGCCAAGAAGAAGAGGAAGAAGAACAGCAAAAGGAAATTTGTATAACCCCAAAAATAATGAAAAGGAAAAGACCCCCTTTCGACCCCCACCCCAAAAAGGAAGTACGCATGAATAAAGGTGCCAGAGATTGACATAAATGGCTCGTAAACACTTTGAATTTGCAAAACGATTCGGTGTTGTTGTTGTCAATATTTTGTTGGTCGATTTGGCGACTCGTAGCAATGGCCATAAAAAGTGTTGCCAGACAATGGCAAAAAAAAACCAAAAAAGGAAAAAATCAGACATTGAAAGTCATGACTAATATGGCGCCATTATGGGTGGTGATGGTGGTCTAAACTTGAACAAATACGAAAAATAATAAAAAAAATAGAGGGGGGGGAGGCCTCTCCCCTGCCAGGTTGTTTGTGTGTCTAGTTTATATTGACCAAGTTAATAATCATTTCTTTGTTTGTTTTGTGTGTCGGGATTTACGAGTGTAGCGTTTAAACGAAATTGCTCTTTGCAATAACGACGTGTAAAAAGAAATATGAAATAAAAGCAAAAACAACAACAGCAACAACAAAAGGTAAACAATCACAATGATAGCCACTCGAATAATAATAGCGGTAATAATAGCGTAATCCTAAAGCTTGAAAACAATGGCCAGAAGAAGGAGAAGAAGAAGTAACACAAAAATGAACGATTATTTGGTTTGTAAAAATAGTAACCAGGTGGCTGTGAAAGTTTGCGGAATGAGAAGGAAATACATTTCGGGGATAAAGAAGAGAAAGGTAGTCTTCTCCTCCCCTTTATCTTCTCTTTGGGAAGACCAACTAGTCTTCCATGGCATGATTACTACCCGATCTTCCACATGGATACTACTTGGTTTCTACGGGTCTTCTAAGAGACGTTTTTTAAGACAAGCTCGAGAAGATTTCAGAGTCCACTATAAGAGGACCTACCCGGTAATCTACAGGGTGAGATAAAAAAAAACTGCAACAAAGTCAAACGCCATAATTTTTACATTTTATTGAAAGAAAGCAAAAAATGTCGGAAATAGCATCAAATTTTAAAATAAGTTTAGATTTGTTCGAATTGGTCACCTTTGCCACGAATTATGGCCTTCAAATGGCCAATGAAACCGTCACACGCTGCCCGAATGTTGCTCTGCGGTATTATGGGCCCTATAGAAGAGCAAGAGGTCTTTCTATAGAAGACCAAGAGGTCTTCCTATAGAAGACCAAGAGGTTTTCCTATAGAAGACAAGGAGGTCTTCCTATAGAAGACCAGGAGGTCTTCCTATAGATTACCTAGACGAAGACCTGGAGGTCTTCTCACAGAAGACATGGACGTCTTCTGATAGAAGACCTGGATGTCTTTAAATAGAAGACCTATCAGAGGTCTTCTTATAGAGAACCTATCAGAGGTCTTCTTATAGAGGACCTCTTTATAGAAGACCTGGAGGTCTTATACGAGAAGACATATAAAGTTTTCTTATAGTTGGAAAGAATTCTTCTTCTCCTCCTGGCCTTCCTATAGAAGACCTAGAGGCCTTCCTATAGAAGACCTAGAGGTCTTCCTATAGAAGACCTAGAGGTCTTCCTATAGAAGGCCTAGAGGTCCTCCTATAGAAGACCTAGAGGGCTTCCTATAGAAGATCAGGAAGTCTTCCTATAGAGAAAGGTAGTCTTCCAAGAAGACCTAGAGGTCTTCCTATAGAAGTCCTAGAGGTCTTCCTATAGAAGTCCTAGAGGTCTTCCTATAGAAGACCTAGAGGTCTTCCTATAGAAGACCTAGAGGTCTTCCTATAGAAGACCTAGAGGTCTTCCTATAGAAGACCTAGAGGTCTTCCTATAGAAGACCTAGAGGTCTTCCTATAGAAGACCTAGAGGTATTCCTATAGAAGACCTAGAGGTCTTCCTATAGAAGACCTAGAGGTCTTCCTATAGAAGACCTAGAGGTCTTCCTATAGAAGACCTAGAGATCTTCCTATAGAAGACCTAGAGGTCTTCCTATAGAAGACCTAGAGATCTTCCTATAGAAGACCTAGAGGTCTTCCTATAGAAGACCTAGAGATCTTCCTATAGAAGACCTAGAGGTCTTCCTATAGAAGACCTAGAGGTCTTCCTATAGAATACCTAGAGGAAGACCTGCAGGTCTTCTCATAGAAGACCTGGACGACTTCTGATAGAAGACCTGGACGTCTTCTAATGCCTTGGATGTCTTTAAATAGGTGATCTGGAGGTCTTCTCATAAAAGAGCTATCAGAGGTCTTCTT